CCATGAAATTACTCATAAGGTTCTCGAAACTGCCATCCTCTTTTGATGATTGTTTTTCCTTTGGGTCCTCAATGGACACAGCTCTTATTCTGGGTCGTGAGGCACCAAAGATTGCTTCCAGTTCTAATGCTCGGACAAGGGCTTCGCTACTCTGTCTGAACTTGGACATTCTTAAGTTTTCCTGGATCTTAGAATCTCTGAGACCATCAATAAACGCGGATACTGCCATCCATTCCTGCATGTCTTCCCCAGCTGCAGGAAACGCCAAACTCACTAGCCTTTTAACTTCCGATTCGAATTCTTGTAGACTCTCGCCGGGTTTTTGAACTCTTGATTTAACTTGAGTTCTGAATACTTCTTGTCTGTAATGGTCTCCGAAGCGCAGTTCTAAAGTTTGACTAAGATGCTGGTAATTCTGCTGGTAGACTGAAGGAATGGACTGAAGAAGGTCTAAGGCAGGTCCTCGTAGCGCCACTATTAGTGCTGTAGCTTTTTCTTGGTCGTTCCATCCGTTGGTATTTGCAGCAGCTTCAAATTGTCGAATATACATGGTCCAGGACGTAGAACCGTCGAAAGTTGGTGGTTTTATCTTCATACTGGAGAATGCTCCAACACTAGCTGGATTGTTGGACTGTATTTCTAATCTACGCATCTTATCTTCGAGTGCTTGAACTTTGTCCTCAACTTCTTGTCTTAATTGCTGAACATCGGCTTTGACCTCAGCTTTAACTCCCTGAACGTCGTTTTTAACTTCTTGAACATCGATTTTGACTTCAGTTTTTACTTCCTGAACGTCGTGTTTAACTTCTTGCACATCGTCTTTAACTTTTTCAATCTTCTGGTCTAGGTTAGCGACAGTTCCTTGTATGGTTTGGAATATCTTCTGTAGTTTTCCAAGGTCTTCTTGCCGTTCTTGTTGTCGCCTAGCTTCTTCTTCTTGTTTTTCTTTTTGTCGTCTGGCCTCTTCTTGTTGTCGTCTAGCTTCTTCGTCTTGTTTTTCTTGTTGTCGTCTGGCTTCTTCGTCTTGTTTTTCTTGTTGTCTTCTAGCTTCTTCTTGTTGTCGTCTAGCTTCTTCGTCTTGTTTTTCTTGTAGTCGTCTGGCTTCTTCGTCCTGTTTTTCTTGTTGTCTTCTAGCTTCTTCGTCTTGTTTTTCTTGTTGTCGTCTGGCTTCTTCGTCTTGTTTTTCTTGTAGTCGTCTAGCTTCTTCGTCCTGTTTTTCTTGTTGTCTTCTAGCTTCTTCGTCTTGTTTTTCTTGTTGTCGTTTGGTCTCTTGAAGTTCCAACATTTTGCGCAGGAGTTCTTCAACTTTTTGTTCGTCCATTTTGGCTTGTTGTCTTGTGATAGGCATATACAGAATGTTCTAGAATTTCCCTCGAACTTTCTTCAAATATCATTTCTGGTCTTTGCTCGAAGTTCCAAACACGACGGTGAAGTCACAAATTGGATAACTTGCTTTATTCTAGAATAGAATGTTCTGGAATTTTCTTGAAACTTCTATTCTAGATGTCGATTGATACAGCAAACACGTCGGTGAAGTCACAATTTCGATATCTCCCTTGGTTTCCAAATAGGATGTTCTAGAATTTTCTCGAAACTCCTCGAAAAACCTCTTCTGAATGACAATTGATGTTCCGAATACGTCGGCGAAGTCACAAATTCGATAGCTCCCTTAGTTTCCAAATAGAATTTTCTAGAACTCACTCGAAGATTCACTATCACAGTCTAAATCGGGTATAGAGTCACTTCCGGGGTAATTCACACGATCGGTTGAGTCTCTTTTTGTGATTGTCACTGTTTGCACTGCACTAATTGTCCCAGTGTTCACTTAGTGTTCAGTTTTTATACTACACTAGTGTCCCCGCACTTCCGTAATTGGATTTCACTCTGCAGTCCTTTATATCCCACTTCTGAAACCAGTGTCGTTTGGGTTGCCTGCTGACAAAAATCTTGGGTTCGTCGTTAGTTTCGTTTATTCCAAAAATCAAAGTCCGATTAACACAGCAATAATTTATTCCACTTAACAAAACACTCTGACACTAATTACTTTATTAACAAACTCAACAATTAAACTCTTTATAATCACTATTTAAATCGTATCACACTCGAACTGAAACTTAACTTACAAACCAATGCCGGCCTTCTTATATATCCCTAAATCTATTCCTGTGAAATCTAGAATACACACGATAATCTAATTTTCCAGATTAAAGTAGAATAATTCGCTAGATTCTAGTATTTCCGCGATCGATTCTTGACAGCCTGGCGGACGTTTAGCTTATTGTGACAATATATAACCATATTAGACATGTAAAAATAACTTGATATAATATATTATACTAGTGAAGGTAGAATTGCTCTTGCAAAAGAGCCTTTTTTAGAAATTAAAAGTCTGTGGTAAAATAAAGCAAACATATTAGAATTAGCATTCCAGCCAGCTATCTTACGAATAACTTCAACCGAAACCCCATTACGCAAAGCTGCTGAAGTTGAAGCATGGCGAGTACTATATGCTGAAAACTTAAGATATATCTACGACACTATCCTTTAGTACAGTCTTGATCCATCTACTCAAACTTTGAGCGGTTGCCGCTCTAAAGGGCTTTTTAAAGGTAATAAACAACTTTGAGATATCTGCCCTCAGTGTTGAAGATCTTCCCAAGTAACATTCTAAAGTACTTGCCACACACAGACTTGGTGTCTTTTCATATTTAGGCAAAACAAGCACTGGCTGAACTTTATTTAACCCTGAAGTCTTTATCCTGTCCTGTATCCATATCTCAAACCGTCTTCTGATCTCTTTATGCAATTTAATTCTATCAAAGAAAAAGTTTGAATTCGATGTGCTATTACCAATGCCATTAGAGTAACCAATTTGAGTGAGAGATCTTTAAGAGACAAGGAATCATTTGGGTAAAGACTTCCCAGGTGCTTAAGTACGACATTTGGATCCCAAGTATCATTATATTTGGGTCTGCTTGGTCTCATATTATAAACCCCTTTACAAAATCTTTTTATTCTTGGGTCGTTTACTATATCGGAACCCAACAACAAACTTAATGCAGCTCTAAAACTGTTGAGGGACCCATAAGACTTACTATTATTGAATTGTTGTGTAAAGAATTGTAACAAAATTGATACAGAAGAACGAAAAACATCAATATTTTTCCCACCAAAGTTTTAGAGCAGTATTATACTGTCTTAAAGTAGAATTACTGATAGAAGATATCATTATATATCTATAGATTTGTCAGGAACGTCCCTCAAGGAGAAGGCTCTTCGCACAACAGCCCTGCAACCAGGGTAAGCTTCTCCCATAACTGATGAGGTTTCCTGTCAATAGAAAATAATAATTTAATATTTGGTTTGAAGGTTATAACCTTAGCACACATTTTTTCAAAAATGGGATACCAAGGTTAGCTTGGCCAATATGGTACTAAAACAATGCCCTTCGCCCCTTCACCTCTAGATTTCTTTAAAACTCTCGGAATTAGACAGAATGGGGGAAAGGCATAAACGAAAAATTCATTCCAGGATAGGGTGAAAGCATCTACTTTATAAGCTTCGCTTTCCGAATCACCAATTCTAGATTCCCTATATCAGCCTCAAAATTGTCTGCTGAATTAATATACGAAGCATATACCCAAATGCTTCTTTGTTCGCACCACTGCCATAATTGTTTTGAAATATCATTTAATATGGGGAACTGCACGCCCCCCATTCTATTTACGTAAGCAATGGCAGTTGTATTATCAATGCGCATCAGAATTTCACACTCTCTAAGTTGCGATGCAAAACATTTCAGCCCAAAGAACGCAGCCAACAACTCTAAGGCGTTTATATGCCTTATTTTCTCTTCTGGTCTCCAGAAACCTCTGGATCTTTTACCCTGACAAAATACACCCCAAGCCAGAGGCGTGGCATCAGAAAAAATCTCCAATGCAAACGAAAATTGTCTTATAGGGCAGGAAGGGCTTTGCATCTTTGCCAACCACCATTCAAAATCTTCCTGCTATTTCTTAGGAACTTGAAACCTACTATCGTAATTTCCCTGAGAACTTTGTAGGACCAAAAATTTGGCCCTCTCGAAACTCTTGGTGTAAAGTTGACTATTGCCAAGCAAACCGACACCAAAGTTCCGCATAAGTGAGCGAAATCTCTTATTTTACAGGTTTTTAAAACCCAGTATTTCTTCAGTAAACCTATCAGATGTTTACACTTCTTTGAAGGCAAACTCAAACGTAAGGAATCAGAGTGAAAGAGGAAGCCTAAAAACTTACAGGATTTTGATGGTGTAAGCACACTCTTCTGATAATTTATCACAAATCCCAATTCAGACAAAATTTTAATTGTATATTGTATGTTAAAAAGTATCGTATGAGTCTCCTATTAGCAGAAAATCATCTAAATAATTTACTGATAAAAACCCTTTGCATCGGAGATAGGAAACAACTGGTTTTAAGAGCTTCGTGAATACCCACGGGGCAGTGCATAGCCCAAAAGGCATCACATTAAATTGATAATATTTGGAATCAAAAATAAAACGTAAATACTTTCGATGCTGTTTCGATACTGGAATTAAAAAATATGCCTCCTTTAAATCCAGTGAAGCCATATACCAATGTTTAGTCAAAATGCTCTCAACCATTCTCCTATCCTCGAGTTTAAAATGGTTGGTAGTAATATACTCATTTAAGATTTTCAAATTTAAAACCAATCTACTAGACCCATCTGATTTGGGTACCAAAAATATTATTGAAATGAATTGGTCCTCACATGGACTACAATTAGATACAGCACCTATTTGTAATAAGTGCCTAATGGCTGAATTTAATTCAATCTTTTCCTTGACAGACCAAGGGGTTCTTTTGGAGCACTGCTCTGAACCACTTTCTTTGAGAATGGAATAGTATAACCACTCAGCCAAGATAAGATAGAAGGTTCATTAGTAAACTTCAGCCAGTTATGTTTAAAATAAGCCAACCGGCCTGCATGTAAACTTACTAATACTTGCTGCTCCTCCTTCTGAATGCTTTCTTCCCCCTCTCCTCTTTTTGAGTCTGGGGGCGATACTTGTTTTGCCCGCTCTGGCGCGGATGAGGTTGATGGTATCTCGACCTCTTTTGCTGCCGGAACGGGCCCTGGGAGTTTAAATTCTTTGCCTGAAGGACTGGTCGTGGTTTCACTACTTTCAAATCAGCAACTAATTTTTCCAAAACTTTGGCAGCTTTCAACCGTTCTGATAAGTCCTTTCCAAACAACCAACAATCCAATGGAGCTGCCAATAAGGCCTCCTTTAGGAGAGGCTGTAGATTACTCTGTAAGGAAAAGCCCAAAATAATGGACCTACGAGCTTCGGACTCTGAATGATGTACCTTCGCCAATAGGCGACCTGCATCACTTAGACAACCAATGACAGCTAATGTCTCATCATCTTTATCCTGCTTCTTAAGCAGAATTGTTTCGGCTTTTCCCACCGCAGCCAAGGCTGTGCCAACTAAATTTTGGATGTTCCATAATCGATCATCACGCTTTTTTCCTGAATCATTAATTGCCGCCTTAAGCTCTGGATTTAATTTAGGAGCTTGAAGCGAGGAACAGTTTTCTGGAAATGGGTATTTTTTCCCAAGCTCCAACAGCGCATCTTCAGGTAAGCCATTCTTGATAAGTTCCATCCATATACTGAGAAGCCAATAATTCATGAAACGCTTCACCAACAGAGACTTTCTTGGTGCTATCAGCACCTATAGCATTTAGCACACGAGTGTCTAGTTCGGGCTTCAAGGGGTCTACCAGCTCCATTACAGTTGAACCTAAAATAGGTACTTATAGGTACATGAGTATATTAGGAGGAAATTGGATTATCTGATGTATAATACGATACACTTTCGCCACGGGCGATTGTGAACAACCAGAAACTCTGGCTTGCCCCTATTTTAAGTATTACACTTTCTCCACGGGAGATTGTGTAGGGCCAAAAAATCCGACTGGCCCCTGTGAACAAATGACACATTCTCCACGGAAGATTGTGTACCCTGTTCGACCTCGGCGGCCGGCGCTGAATAAATAATATTTATCAACGCTACTTACAATCAACAGTTTGTTCGTCAAAAGGGGGTTGTGGACTCATCTGCCCATAATTGGATAAGGGGCTTTCTGGTTGTCTAGACCTAGATTTGGAACGTCCAGATCTGAACGAGAAGAATAATAGGACTCCTCCGAATCCGAGTCCCGTCGACGGTGTCGACTACGACCCCTAGCAACCAAAGTGGGGCGTGACTCACGGTCTTTTTCACGTCGTGATCTTTCCTTAAGGCGGCGTTGAAGCCGCTTAATTCGACGTTTCAAATACTCATCTTCACTTGTATCACTCGAGTAAGATCTGGATCGATGTTTTCCCATGATATTTTCGCACAAAACCACCACAAAATCAAAATTATTTCGAAAAAAATGTAGACTATTAAAAAACGTTGCGTCACCATGTACCTACACAAAGTAGAGAAGTGAGGTTGGTATCGCCAGGAGCAGGGAGTATCGGTAGACGTAGAGTAGCAACTTTTTAGCTTGTATGGCTTTAAAGTTGTGGCGACACCTAGCGGAAAGCAGGGATACTACACCCTTGATCTCGGAGAAGAGGCGCAAAATCATAATCTGCTTGCAGTCTTACCAATATTTCGTTAATTTTTCTTGTTATGTAGGTATGCCAATGAACTAAGTATAATAAATGCATTCTGACAGAATATAGTCATTTTTAAAATATCTTTGTTACCTATGGGTAATAATAGTTTAACAACAGAATTTACAGGATAATAGACATCTATAGAAATTACTCAATCATTTTTTACCACCGCCCTATCATGTTATTATAATTACCTCATTAAAGTGATAAGAAATACTAATAGTCATGCAGCGTTTTTCCAGTGGCGTATGGGTATTTCCATTTACATGTAATCCAGATTTCAGAAAATAGTGTTATAAAAATATAAGTTTTGAAGAGATGTATTTCTAATAAATTATTGACTGCATATGTATATTATGTATATAGGGTGGTCCAAAAAATAACGGAATTTGGTTTTTGAGCTATAACTTTCTTATTTGTTGACCAATTTTCTTTTGTTTTGGCTTGTTTGAAAGAGAAATGAACAGACTAACGAATCAGGGTAAAACTTTTGACATTTGGAAAAAATCCAAAATGGCGGACTTCTTCAAAAATTGCCTAGTTTTGGATAGCGCTGGAACTTTTTTGGAACACCCTGTATAAGTTTTTTTAATACATTCTTAAAGGTCATCATTTTGCCAACATTTTAAGACCTCGACAGAAAAAATCGGTTGAAAACTAAGTGAAATATTGAATTTTTTGTAATATCGAATTTCAATTTTTTATATTGACAGCAAAATCTAGGATATGCTATTTCAGCTAGAATTTTTTTTCCTACTCGACATATTTTTTTCTATTTCGAGCTTGTTCGAAAGATAAATAGATAGGATAAGAATTCGAAATGAAGATTTTGACTGTTGAGAACAAATTAAAGATTTCCCAGTTCCTTTAACATAGCCAATTTTGGAAAAGTTAACGATAAGTTTTCTAACATTACGACTAATATTTTTATTTATAAATTAAAAAAAATAAAGTAAACACATTTAAGTGGCAAGAGGCAATATGCCCCCCGTGGGCCTCAACAACCGCTAAACGTCTATGCCCAGAATCGATAAAATTGGCAATGCTACGTTGTTCCAGCAGTTCTCCCCCACACTCAGTGATTCGGTTGCGTAGCTCTTCTAAATTATTGAACGTAGCCCCATTTCCGTGGACTTTTTCTTCCAAGTCCCCCTATAAAAAGTAATCGCAGGGAATCAAATCTGGGCTATAAGGCGGCCAGCGGCCAGTCAACGGGCTCTATAAAATTCGCAACTTGCTCTCTTAGATAGTTGATACTAAAGAATAATTAAAAGTGATTTAAAATGCTGAAGCATGTTAAACAGGACTACACATTTAAACTGTCCTACTAATATTTAGAACCCGTGCTGAAATCCGAAAAATTTAGTTCAGTGATGGGAAAATTTTCACCTTATCCTGAGTAAAGAATTCGCAAAACGACCAACTACGAATTTTTCTCCAAGCTCGAAAAGCAGAAAAAGGAAGAGAAAAATTCAGCAGTTATTTAATGGTATCTATCTGCAGCAATTTCTCGAAGCCACAAAGCACAACTAATTGTTATCGACCTAGGAGTTCGCTTGGATTCACGCAAGTATTGTCAGCTTGTGTTCGTCATATGCTATCCGAAATCAAGGTTGTTTGAGAGAGGTAGGTTGCCTGATAACTTTTATGACGTCATCTGTATGATATAATAATAATATAATAATAAATAGTTTATTTCTCAATAATACATTTTGGTGTAGCTACAAAAAATTCTCCTAGAGTAATAAACATTTTGAGGCTCTGAAGCAATACATGTTGCTTGTTAGTGCCGAGTGTCTAGTTAGGGTTTTTTTTTGTCACAATTTTGGTAAAGAGTCACTTCCGGGTTTAAATGTCATAATTTGGGAAAAGTCACATTCGGGATTTCAGTTCACAATAATTCACAGTTCACTATTTAATTTACTTATGAAAGAACTAGATTATACTAATACAATGATACATTATTTAGAAAAGACTATGTATTTGATTTCTGTTTGTTTTTTGCAACCATTTTTTAAATTCGTTTTTAATTTTTTTGTGAAAGACTTATTCTCTAAGGTGCTTAGGAAGCAAATTATAACATTTTGGGGCCATGTAACTAACTGAACGATGACCCACTTCTTTACGGTTTAAAGGAACAACCATAAATTCTTTTTCGAATCGTGTGTTTTTGCCATGATTCACAGATTGAAGTGACAATTTATTTTTATTCACTAACATTAAAACATTGAAAAAGTATAATTGTCTAGTGTCAAACACCTTTGCTTCCGTAAAGAGCAAATCACTAGAGAATAGCCTATTTTGTTGAAAATTGTTTTCAGTATCCATTTTTGGATAACATCTAAATGTTTTAGATAGCATTGTCTCACACTACCCCATCCAACGATGCCATAATTTATTTGTGATTGAACCAAGGCATAATATATATTTTTTAATTGTTCTGTTTTTAGGTAAGTTTTCAGAAAAGAGAAGCGACTAATCAAATATCTTGTCTTTGAAACCACAAGCTCTACTTGCTTGTCCCATCTTAGGTGCTGGTCAATCATTATACCAAGATATTTGATGAAATCTACTTTGGAGATGAACATGTTTTCTCCGATGTTCAGAAACCGAAAATCGGGTTGTTTATTCAAATATGACGCAAAGGCAATAAAATTGGTTTTTGTTTGATTAAGCGTTAGTTTGTTGCTTCGAAACCATTTAGAGATGTTGCCTAGATCAGATTCTGCCATATTTTTAACTTCTTGCCATGAATTACCAGAATGAAAAACTGCAGTATCATCAGCAAAACTAACCAGACTTCCCTTCCAGTCAATCTTTAGGAGGTTGTTTATATAAATAGTGAACAGTAGAGGTCCCAGAACTGTCCCTTGCGGTACACCACAAGTGACAGCCCTCAGACCACTCGCTACCCCATCCAATTTAACATACTGATGTCTGTCCTCCAGATAGCTCTTGCATAGGTTCAAAACACTGCCCATTATCCCAATGTGTTCTAGTTTTTGCATAAGTCTTTCATGGCACACTGTATCAAATGCTTTAGTGAGATCAACAAATACACAGAGGGGCGGTTTCTTCTGATCAAGCGCATCGTAGATTTGAGATGTCAGTGCGAGGATTGCGTCTTCTGTGGATTTTCCGTTTCTAAAACCATACTGTTTTTTAGACAATATATTTTGTTTTTCTAGAAATCTTGTTATTCTCTGTTTTATAATTTTTTCAAATAGTTTCGAAATATTTGAAGTTAAAGATATGGATCTGTAATTGCCAATTTCAGTTTTGGATCCAGACTTAAATAAGGGTTTGATTTCTGCAATTTTTTTAGCTTGAGTTGGCAAATAGTTTTTTCAATTTCGTTGCAAGAGGTTTCCTTCAAATAAAACAATTTTTTATTTGGTCTGTCGGTTCGTTCTGTATAGTTTTGTGGAGGGTTTATTTCTCTAGCTAATCTTTCTCCTATTTCGCAAAAATAATCGTTGAAATGATTAGCTATATCCAGTTTATTTGTAATGACTTCGTTGTTTGTCAGTGCTATTTTTTCGATATTTGTTTTCTGAAAGGGTTTATTACAAATATTGTTTACACATTTCCATAGGGCTTGTGATTTATTTTTGTTAGAATCTATTTGTTTTTGTGCAAAGTCTTTTTTAGCATTGTTGATAGTTTTTAATAACTGATTTTTATATGTTTTGTATCTAATTTTCAACTGGGCTTCCGGATTGTCTAGGCATTTTTTATACATCTCATTTTTAGTTTTGATTTTGTCTAGCAAGCTTTTTGTGATCCATTTATTTTTGCCATTTTTTGTGTTTTTTTGCCTTTTGGTGTGTTTGTTTTTTGTAATATTGTCCTGTAAAATATTTAAAAAAATCGACACTGCAAGATTTACGTTTGAAGCTTGATAAACTGATGTCCAAGTTTCATTTTGTAAATCTTCCCTTAACTTTCTGTAGTTTATGTATGTCTTTATTCGTGTGTTATCTGCATTTGTTTTGTTTTGTTTTGTGAAGTGTAGTTAAAGAC